CCTATCGCAGGATCTAGAATTCTGTCATATCATGATTGCTTCCTCCCAAGTTGCCCATCACCGTTACATCCTCCATGAGTTCTTCCCTATCGTTCAGGACAAGATCCAAGATAGATGATCCCCCTAGTTGTTTCCTCAACCTTATGGAACATAAAGTTATCCTCCATACGAGTTAAGAACTGGCTAAACATTTGATATTTGGCTGTATTGTACTGCCAGGCGATGCCCAGAAAATTGAAGTCTCCCATCAGTACCATCCCATAGCTGTTGGATAGATGAGTCACCTCCTTGAGGAGTGTCTCAACCACCTCCTCCTTTTAATTTGGTGGCCTATAATAAAGCCCCACCATTATATTTGTGCTGCATTTTTCACCTTTCATCTTCATCTGAATGCATTCTGCTTTGCTGTCTTCTTCCTCCTGAACCATGAACAAGTGTATGCATACAAGACGATACCACAACCTTTTCTCCCAACCCTGTCCTTCTGAAATTAAGTATAACCCTCAGTATTGACTTTCCAGTCATAGGAGCTGTCCCACCAGCTCTCTGTGTCATACCAATCGGGTCATAGTTCTTATCACAGGCCGCAGCTTCCAGCTCGCTTTGTTTTTTCCCCTGTACTTCTCACATTTGTATACATATATCAGACATATTTTTGTACTTAGACCTACTCATTCCTCTTTTGTACCACCTGTTGCTGTCTGGTGGCTCTCTCGCCCTTTTCTTCCAGATTTAAATTGCTTCTGAGAGTCCTTTCCTTTCTGAACTGTGTGCCCCATTGCTAAAGGGTTTTGATAACCATTTCCCATGGTACCTAGTTTAAAGCCCTCCTTACTTGGTTGGCCAGATGCTCTTTCCAATTCTTGTCAGGTGGATCCCATCTCTTGCTAGTTTGCTAGCAGTCCTCTTCCCAGAACATCTGCCCATTGTCAAAGAATCTGAACCCTTCATGTCGACCCCACCATCTCAGCCACGTGTTTTACTTCCAGGATATGATGGTCCCTGCCTGGACACTTGCCTTTCACAGGGAGGATAAATGGAAACACCACTGTGCCTCAAGCTCCTTAATCCTCCTGCCAAGAGCCTCAAAACCACCTCTGATCTGTTCGTGTCATTTCTAGTGTTGTTGGCACCTTCATA